GGATGGGGGCTCAGTGGTAAGGTATGCCTGGGTTCAAATCCCTATACCACAAATAAATAAATAAAATCTCAGGATAGGCGGTCCTCTGAGTGTAGTTGGCATCTCTGGGATGGAATCAGTAAGTATATTGGGCTGACTATGATGGCACACATTTATAGTCCCAGTAGCATGGGCGGCTGAGGCAGGAGGATTTTGAGTTCAAAGCCAGCCTCAGCAACTCAGTGAGGCCCTAAGCAACTCAGCAAGACCCTGTCTCCAAATAAAATTTTAAAAGGGGTTGGGGATGTGGCTCAGTGGTTAAGTGCCCCTGGGCTCAATCCCTGGTATCAAAAAAAAAAAAAAAAAGAATATTGGGATGTCCTAAATCAGGCCATTGCGGCTGTCAAAGGGCTGGGAGGGCTTGTGTGTTTAAGAAAAAAGAATTTGGGAAGAGCGCATGTTACAAATAACCTCTTCACACCTGTATCACGCTGGCAAAAAGTGAGCTGGATGATGCCATGGGCCAGGTGAGGCGACAGGACTGCTGGCACTTTGGTGTGGGGCTGGTGGAAGGCAGCCAGTCAGGCATCCTGGAAGTCAGCAGCACTGTTATTTGTGATGAGGGGAGGAGGTGGGTGCAATCTGGGACAGTGTCCTTAGGGGAGAGAGGAGGTAAAATGTGTTCGATGCACTTGGAGGCAGCAGTGATTAGATGTAGGTACAGTGCCGCAGACAGATCTTAAAAACCATTCGGAGTGAAAGAAGTAAAATACGAAAGGAAACACATAACAGTGCACTTAGGAAATCTTAAAACACTTATGCTGGGCTGGGGATGTGGCTCAAGTGGTAGCGCGCTCGCCTGGCATGCGTGGGCCCGGGTTCGATCCTCAGAACCACATACAAAGATGTTGTGTCCGCTGATAACTAAAAAATAAAAATTAAAAAAAAATTCTCTCTCTCTCCCCCTCCTTCTCTCTTTAAAAAAACAACACTTATGCAGAACAGCAAAATATTTCACAAGAAGGAATACAAACAAAAATGTCCACATTAAACACAGTAAAATGGTCAGCAAAATAGGGCAGGAGGGTATGTGGAAATACGCAAGGAGGGAGAAAGTGCCAAAGGTGTGGACATTGGTGCCAAGGTTTTTCCTAATGGAAAAATTCTTGTGTTGTTGGTAAATGTTTAACAACTGCTTCTCCAACGGGAAAAAATTAACCCTGATTTGCAGTGTTTGCCAAGTTCCAAGGTAAAAGCCCTCGGGTGGCTGATTGGAGCTGTCCACAGGACTCACTGAAGCAGAGTTTGGGAGATGCAGGTGCCTGCTTTGCTCATGGGAACTCATCACTGTCTTCACTACCTCTTTGGAGATCTTCAATAAGTTGCGGATGGAAAATTCTCTGATAGGAACTTTTTGTAATGTTTTGAAGCCAAAATTCTCCCAAGGTAAGGTAAAACTTTAGTGAAATATTATTTCACTTGCATAATACGCAATGCATACCCTTTTGGAAATTTTATGGAACATACACCACCCTCACACCCCAGCTGAAATCTCCTTTCTTCTAGTTTCTTGAAAAAATAGTAGTTACGTCTCTGTTTCCCCAACCATTAATGTCTAAACAAATGACTGGAGAATTATCTCCAAATGTCTATTTCCTGCCCCTCCAAAATGGTTAAAAGATAAACTATTGCCTACTCACTTATGTAAATGTTACTTGACAGGAAGTGTCATTAGCATCGGGTTTCCTAGAGAAGAGATTTCTTTTTGAAAGGATAATCATTATTGGTAAAAGAGAAAGAATGGGTCTTTTCCAAAACAATTTTTTAAATTGTTCATCTTTTAAAAACTGCATACATCAGAAGCATTTTCAGACTCTCCTGGAAAGCGAGAACTACATATTTTTAAAACCATGGGATGGGCATATAGCGCGGCACTATAGCGAGGTCCTGGGTACTAGCACCAGCACCATCAAAAAAAAAAAAAAAAAAAAATATATATATATATACACATATATGTATATAAATTTTATATATATATTTTGCTAGAAAATATAAATGCTATAATATATAAGGCTATATATAATTTTTAAAAATATACATCTTTTCTTATCCTATTAGAACAGGGCCTTTGAACCTCACCACTGTTGACATTTAAGTCAGATCATCCTTTTTTGTGGGGGCCATGTGTACATTACATTGTAGAATGTCCCACATCCTTCCTCCATGCTCACCCATTTGATGTTTATATGTATATATATATGTGTGTGTGTGTGTATAAATATGTATTTCTTTTTTTAGTTGTAGATGGACATAATACCTTTTATTTATGTATTTATTTATTTATTTATGTGGTGCTGAGGATGGAACCCAGCGCCTCACACGTGCTAGGTGAGCACTCTGCCACTGAACCACAACCCCAGCCCCACCCACTGATGTTTACAGCACTAGCTCCATCATGACAACCCAAAATGCCCTAGACATTACCCAAATGTCCCCAGTGGGGAAAAATTACTTCCAGTTGAGAACCACTGTGTTAAGAGTGTGTCAAAGTATTTTCTTTAATCTTTTCATTATATTGGTCACATTTTCACTGAGGGCTTGCCAGAACCACATTAAAAGGCAAGTAATGAGTGAGTAACAGGAATTCCCTAAATCTTTATGAATTGCTTGTATGTTTCTGCTACTGTTTCATAAATATGTTCAGAGCCCTGTGCTATGTAGACAACTATGCAAGAACTAGTTTTTGCCATGTGCTATGACCATACCCCATTCTCTGTCAACAGATGTCCTTATTTTGATTCTTAAAAATATTATTTGGGAATGGGTCAAACTTGCCATGTACCTAAGCTGAGGTGCTATTTACTAAATGCTCCCATCAGCATTTCAGATGGCCATTCTTGCTCAACTCATCTCACCTTGTTTAATTTTTTTGTTTTTGTGGGGGTGGGGTACCAGAGTACTCAGGGGCATTAGGCCACTGAGCCACATCCCCAGCCCTATGTGGTATTTTATTTAGAGACAGGTCTCACTGAGTTGCTTACATCTTGCTTTTGCTGAGGCTGACTTTGAACTTGTGATCCTCTTGCCTTGGCCTCCCAAGCTACTGAGATTACAGGTTCTTTAATGTTTTGACTTTCTTTCTCCTCTGGAGACACAAAGAGAGCACTCAGTATCTTGGTCCCCATTTGACTGATGAGGAAAGTGAGGCTGAGAGAGGGTGAGGTAAAACTATGATCAAAGCAACCCAACTGGCTAATGGCAAGGGTGGGCCTAAAAACTAGGACCCTGAAAAACCACTAGATTATCCTACCCCTTGCCATCTAAGACTTTAGGCCTCTGAGGCTTCTAGTCATTTTCTAAAAAGAATTCAAGAGAGGGAGATGGACTGGGAAAAGAGGATGAGAAAAAAGTATAGAAATATCATTGACTAAATTATAATTGTAAGCTATGGAAATTATGGAAAAGCTTACACTGCATAGTATATATTATTTCTTCCCAAGAGTTTTAAGTTTTCAAATAAAAATCAAATTTTCCTGAGTCTTCTAAAAAAAAATTAAAAATGAGCTGGTGAAAGACCTCAGACTCATGGGCCCAAACATCCATTGCTTTGGACTACAGACGTTTCCATTCACTGTCAGCCTTGATTCTCAGGAGAGCAAACAAAGGAGCGCTAGGCATAGTGGTGCATGCCTGTAACCCCACGGATTTGGGAGGCGGAGGCAGGAGGATAGAAAGTTCAAGGCCAGCCTGGCAATTCAGTAAGGCCCTCAGCAACTTGGCAAGACCCTGTCTCAAAAATTAAAAGGGCTGGAGATGCACCTCAGTGCTAGAGCTCCCCTGGGTTCAATCCCCAGTGCAAAACAACAAAACCCACACAGCTAGCTCTTTTGATGTGACTGACTGTTCAGTCTCTCCCTGTGGAGCTGACCTTTCCTAATGGTAGGAAATAGTTCCTGAGAACCTACAGACCAGACTATTTATGCAGATGCCCTCTTAGTGGATGACATAGAGTATAGGTGTCCCTCTACTGCTACTATATTCTGTATAGGTTTGGTTCCTTTGTGACGTTTTCCTGAGAAATAGAATAATTAATCTGTTTGGTTAAACTTTCTCTTTGGTTAAAAACTGTTTATTTCCTACTTTTACCTGAAAAGTAAATCCTCTACTTATCACCCTAAAATAGGGGTCACTTTTCCTGATAAGGGTCAGATAGTAAATATTTTAGGCTTGGTGAACCACATGAGGTATGTGTATGTATATATAATTTTTTTTTCAAAGATGTAAAAAGGAACATTTTTTTTTCCTCCAGAACTGGGGATTGAACCAGGGATGCTCCACTACTGGGCTACATCTCCAGCCTTTTATATTTTTTTCTTTCGAAATAGAGACTTACTCAGTTGCCCAGCCTCAGCTGGAACTTGTGATTCTCCTGCACCAACCTCCTGAATTATTGGGATCACAGGTGCATACTATGTCTGCCTGGCTTGTAGAAAACATTAACTTAGGACCATTCTACAATATTCTGCCTGCCTTAATTTGATGCATTCTCTAAACAATTTCAAATGGGCCCTAGCCTGGATGTAATTAGTTATAACAACTTCACTCATCCAGATTTCTGAAGGAAAACTAGGGCCAGTTGTGTTGGTAATTTAGGAGACAGGTGAAGAAAGGGACCTCCCAAAGCTTCTGTAATAAACTGAAGGGCAACCTTTCCTTTGCTGGTTTTGCCATAAGAAGCCTGAGCCTGGGGAAGCTGGCCCCAGGGCAGGGGAAAATTTCAAATAAAAATCCTAGGAAACAACAAGGCAGTTTATTTCATAATGACTCGTGAGGTAGGTCGTGTGGGAAGCAGGAGGCAGGTCATTAAAGCCCTCCGTGGGCTTTGCTCCTCCAGAACACACCTTACTCTGGGCAAAAGGTTCTCTCCACCATGAGGGGGAAAGCAGCACAGATCCAGTCTGGAGAGAAACACTGGCCAGGAAGTGTCTCCTAATCTTCACAAAATGCTCTGCAGATTCCTCTAATGGTAAGAGAACTTTATTTTAGTAAAAAGTCCCCCCCCTTTTTTTTTTTTAAAATGTTGGCTCCTTCCCCCACCATTAGAAAGCAGCTTCATGGATAAAAAACAATCCATTTATTTAGACATACTCTTCTTAGGCAATGTTAACTTTTTCCACCGTCGTAACACCACTCGGTATTTTTCACTTTCAGTCTTCTCTTCAAACACTTTTTTCAGGAGAATCCGCATCACTGTCTCTGTTTCTGCTTCTTTGTCCTCTCCAATGAGAAGATCCAATGTATCTCCTATTTTCACCTGAACAGAATAAGAAAATGAACCTTCATTATGTTTCAGGACACCCAGGCCTATGCAGACATCTGTTTTTCTCCTTGTGATCAGGTGATCATTATCCAGGTGGGCAGGTAAGAAAGGGCTTTGACTCCTCTGAATCTGTCACCCTTTCCTGTGCCTTAGAGTGAAAGAGCCTCCCCAAAAGGGTGCCTCACACACAGGGACTCAACAGCAGCCAGTATTCTTCAGAGCTAGGCAACTGGCTGCTTGTGGGTGGGCAGTTTCTGTGTGTGGAATCATTCAAATATGTTGATTGTGGATGATTTAGGAAATATTCGAATGGACATATTGGAGATACTGGCAAGATAAAGAAGGTGGAACACGATCTTTGTGCACAGAAATTACCACATGTACTAGAAGGATAATTTCCAACACCACGCTTCAACTTATTTATTTATTTATTTTTTTGGAGGATACCAGGAATTGAACCCAGGGACATTTTACTTCCCCAGTCTTCTTGGGCTGGCCAAAATGGCTGGCTTTGAAATTGCAATCCTCCTGCCTCAGCCTCAGGAGTCACTGGGATTATCATGATATTAGAGACTGAACCTCAGGGTACTTTACTACTAAAGCTATATTATCTCCAAGTCCTTCTTTGAGACAGTCTCCCTAAATTGCTGAGGCTGGCCTCAAATTTATAATCCTCCTTCCTCAGCCTCCTGAGTCACTTGAATTACAGGCAAGGCCATGACACTGGGGATTTAACCCAGGGACACTCTAGCACTGAGACATATCTCCAGTCCTTGCCCTGAATTTGTAATCCTCTTTTCTCAGCCTCCTGAGCCACTGGGATTACAGGTGTGCACCACTGCGCCTGGCTATTTTCATTGATTTTTTAATCCAGGTGACTTACATAAAATGGAGTTGGGGCAGTGTGTTGGAAATCATTCACTATGGACAACAGTCAGCTGCAGAGAAAAGGAAGTAAAGAAACTGCTTTTCCAGTGTTAGCTGGCCCAGGGCTGGGGATGTGGCTCAGTGGTAAAAGCACTTGTCTAGCACATACGAGGTCCTGAGTTCAATCCTCAGCACCAACAAAAACAAACAAAACACACCAGTGTTAGCTTGCCCAAGTGATGCCATACAATCACAGTGACAAGCCTCCACCCACAAAGGTGGCGTTGGATACTGTGGGTCAAACCCATTCTTGCCAAAAGGGAATTTTGGCTTGAGCTCCTCAAGGCACACCCTAGGGCAGTCCTACCCGTTCAAAGTCCTGAAATCTCAGGCCTGTGCTGAGGGTGTGAAGAACCTGTGACAGATTACCGGGTCCAAGTGGCTCAGGATCTCACGGAATCTTCCCAGAAGCTCAAGAAGGGACTAAACAGACCCAGTTGCCAGAGCCTGCTAAAAAAACAGGCCTCCCAAACACTCCCAATGGTGGGGAACAACCTATGTGTGGTGGTCTATACAGTCTACATGGCTATTTAACAGCCTATTAGAGGGCGTCAGTTAAGAAGCATGATATTGCTGGGCAGGATGTCACACACATGTAATCCCAGCAACCTGGGAGGCTAAAACAGAAAGATCACAAGTTCTGGGCCAGCCTCAGCAATTTAGCGAGGCCCCAGTGAGACTTTGTCTCAAAATGAAAAGGGTTGGAGATGTAGTTCATTGGTAAAGTGCCCCTGGAGTTCAATCCCAGTACAAAAAAAAAAAAAAAAAAAAAAAAAAAAGGAGTGGGGCTGTGGCTCAGGGGTACAGCACTTGCCTAGCACACGTGAGGCACTGGGTTTGATCTTCAGCACACACAAAAATAAAGCTATTGTGTCCATCTACAATTAAAGATATTAAAAAATTCATTCTTAAAAAAAAGCGCAGGACCGGGGCTGGGGCTCAGTGATAGAGCACTTTCCTCACATGTGTATGGCACTGGGTTGGATCCTCAGCACCACATAAAAATAAATAAAGATATTGTGTGCATCTACAACTAAAAAAATATTTTAAAAAACCCACAAGATGTCAAATGCTGACTTTTACCTTATTTTTCAATTACATTCTCTGCAGCAGACACAACTTTAGACAATCAAAATATTTGTACCTCATCAGGACAACCCCATATCTATTCTCCCACCCACCCAAGTCCTCTGCAGGTCTAACTTTGATGTTCAACATGCACATGCCTACCTACTAGCCACCATTCTACACTGGTCATTCTGGGAAGCACCTAGTAGCTAGATGCAAAACTCTCAAGGCAGGGGCCAATTTTAAATCAATGACTTCTCCTCTGGGCTGAGAAACAGACTCAAATTACAGTCAGGCATCAAGACTGCTCTCCCTTGAAGGAAAGGGATGGAGGGGGGATGGGAATAGAAAAGACAGTAGAGTGAATCTGACATAACTTTGCTATTTTCATATATGAATACATGACCAGTGTAATTCCACTTCATGTACAACCGCAAGAATGGAATACTAGTTAGAATGTTATATTCCATTTATGTATAATATGGCAAAATACACTCTACTGTCACGTATATCTAAAAAGAACAAAAAGACTGCTCTCTCCTTAACTATGAAGAATGGACACAGGCATCATCTGGAGGGGCTCTGCCCTCCTATAGTTCTGTTGGGTTCAATCAGAAATGTAAGACTTGGGCCAGCTCCAAGCTGGCCTCTAAATTTGGGGCCAGCCGTGGCAACTTAAAACTCAAAATAAATTAAAATAAAAAGAGCTGACAATGTAACTCAGTGGTACAGCACCCCTATGTTCAATCCCCAATACTGCCAAAATAAATAAATAAATAAATAAATAGAAAAGAAATACAAGGCCTGGAAACTGCTTACCTCTTTTGTATAAATTTATTTCATTAAAATTCATTTTTAATAAAAAGTGCATGTGATACAAAAGGGTATACAAATAAAAGGCAATATTCTTTACATCCTTTCAAAGATACACGGTTCAGTTATCGTGCAGTTGAAAAGTGAATCCCTGAATCCCTTTGGTGGCTTCCTTCTGGGGCAGAGAGAGGCTAGGGATGTTTCTCCTGTGCCCAGATGATCAGGGGAGAGGTGAGTTTAGGAAGACATCAACCCCACATTTGGGCTCCTCATACCTACTGTTTGTCAACAGCTACTCAGCACCTACAGCAATCTGGATCCCACTTATTTTGCAGCTCACAGAAAAGCTTTGTCCAGCTGTAGGCAGCCAGGGTTGGAGTTGCAGCATCCGGCAAGCGCCTGACCCTCCGGGGCCAGCAGCCAGACACAGGCTCTATGGAGCAGGCCAAGGAAAGCGAGGCATTCTTTATTCCCCTCCCAGGCTCTGTCCTTTAGCAGACACAAAGCAAAACTGGCTGGGATTACTGGCTGTTCCAAATATCTACATTTCAAATCTCCCCTTAGCTGCAGTTTCTATGGCTACCAGGCCTCCTAGTAACAAGGCAGCTGAGTGTTAATGCTGGTCTCTGCCTTTGCTGACCCTCAGGAGAAATCTGGAAGGCAGTTGAGACAACAGAACACCCATGGCAGAATGAAGCAGCAGCAATTAGGCCTTAGTTAACAATATCTCAAAGCGGAGGGAGAAAAATAGGCTTGTGGGGTTTGTAAATGAGGCCCCAGCAGAGAGGCAGGGTGTGCAGGGAGTAATCATTCCATACTCCAAGAACAGGTCTTGCCTTTGGAATACTGTGACTGGGGAGAAAGCAATTAAGGGCAGAGCAGGGCCTATCTGGAGCACCTGGTTTTATGCAGTTCACTGAACAATGGCTGACATGCCAGTCTGAACCTGCCGACTCAAGAGCTCTCAGAGGATCCTGGGCCTTGTGGGGAAGGGGGTTGCTGAGACAAGCATGGGGGAGCTTTCCCTCCTTCTGCCTACATAGCTGCAAGAACCTGTATCTCAGGGAACAAGGTCTGTAGGATGCCTCAGTGCTCACCCCAGTGCAGGTCAGGACAGTTACTGTTTCCCATCCCAGGGGGATTATGGAAGATGAAATAAAACCTACCTCCAAAAGTGTTATCTAACTTCACTGAAATATTTGTTCCTTAACATTAAGAGATGACATCTTCCAATATCTCATAGGTGTTATGTTTCCAAACCTTTAAAAAAGGGTCTTTCTCTTAACCCCTTTAATGTGTTTGGTTAACTTTTACTAACAGTATTTATTTTTTCCAATTATGTGACACATACTTATGGTAAAAATTCATAACATAAAAGGCATGAAGAAAATCAACACAATCCATAACGTGCCAAAGATACATTAGAGTAATGAAAATATTTTAATTCCAGATATATGTGTGTGTGTGTGTGTGTGTGTGTGTGTGTGTGTGTGTGTATATTTTTTTTTTTTTTTGGTGGTACTAGGGACTGAACCCAGAGGTTTTTATCACTGGACACATCCCCAGCTTTATTTTTTATTTTTAATATTTTTTAGTTGTCAATGGACCTTTATTTTATTCATTTATATGTAGTGCTGAGAATCGAACCCAGTGCCTCACACATGCTAGGCAAGTGCTCTACCACTGAGCCACAGCCCCAGCCCCAACCAGCCTCTTTTTAAAAATTGAGACAAGTCTCTTTAAGTTGCTTAAGGCCTCACTAAGTTACTGAAAAAACAAATATATCAGCCAGACATGGTGGTACATGCCTATAGTCTCAGTGACTTGAGAGGCTAAGGCAGGAGGATTATAAGTAAGTTCAAGGTCAACCTGGCAACTTAGTTAGACTAAGTAAAAAGGGCTGTGGATGTAGTTCTGGGTAAGTGCCTCTGGATTCAATCCCCAGTAGCAATACAAAACAACAAAAAAATCCCAGATATGTATGTTGTGTGTACATATGCATATATATATATTTTTTCTCTGTTCTTTTAAGGTCAAGAGTGTTAGTGGCAATGCTTGGCTAACATGCACAAACCCTTGAGTTTAATCCCCTACACGACAAAAAAACAAATAAGCAAACAACCCCCACAACACAAAAATAATAATACTGTCAGAAAATACAGACCATCTTTTTCAAGCTGCTGTACACGCAGAGCAGTGTACCCAAGCAAGAGCTCAGTGGGGGGCTGCAGAAGTGAACAGAATGGAACATCTGCTCAGATAACATCAGGGCAAAGAACACCTCTACATGGATCAAATGTTTCTTTTTAATCTAATTATTATGATTCCATGGAGGCTAACATTAATACCCTGGAAGTTTAATTAATGGATTGTTGCCAGTCCTGATGGTGGCTTATCCCAAAATCCTCTTCATCACAAGGTCATTAAGGCTACAAAGGAGAAAGTGGTCTGTGTGACTGAAGCCTGTTGTTAACGCCCACCAGCTGACCAGAACTACAGAGGACCTCAAGAGAAGGTAAGGGAAAACAGGGCAGCACTGAGTAGTGGCAGAACAATAAACAAAAATTTCTGGCTGTCATTATAAGTTTAATGTCTCACCGTTCTGCTTTTCTTCCATAATTTTTCCCCATTAAGTCTGAGTTCACCTTTGTAGAATGCATCTTCCACTTTGCTATTCAAAAAAAAAAAAAAAGTCAAAGTACTTTAAAATATAGAAATATATTCAAAATAATTATACAGGTTTGAGAGAAGCATCATAAAATCTGCATTTTGAATGCTAGGAAAGTGAAACTCAACTTTGTCTGTATGTAACTAAAACAGGGAGACCAAAGGGCACTTCTGAATATATGCTCAACTACTGCAAAGATTTTCTAGTACTGTTGGGCTGATAATTAGATGAGGCTTTGTGTATCTGTCAGTAGGGATTAAACCCTTGGTCTAATACAGGGCTACGTCCCCAGATTCCTCCCTCTTTTTAAAAAAAATTTTGAGACAGGATCTTGCTGCGTTGCTAGCCTGGCCTCAAACTTGTGATACTCCTGTATCAGTCTCCCGAGTAACTAGGATTACAGGTGTGCACCACTGTGCCTGTCTATAGGAGGTTTTAGCATGCATACCAACCTCCATTCTCCCAGTGCAACAACTACATGGCTACAACTTGGTGATTAGCAATACGCAAAGTGAGTGGACACTGAATTCCCCTCAGATACCTGCTCTACACTCTGAGAGAAAACCCAGGCACTACATTCATAACAACCAGATCAGAGGATGCAGACAAAAATTTCCTTTTGATGATCTGACTCCAGGTGACTGATAGTTGGGGTTCAATTTAATAATAACAGCAGTAACTACTACTCTGGGAAAGGAGATGTCCTTTATGAGTTTGCCAGATTTTGGAGAACATTCAACAAATTCTGATCATCATGCCAAGAGGGGAACCAATGGGCCCAAATCTTTTTGAGTCTCTTAAGCTTCATGATTTAAAAAATTAAATTATGCCATTAAATGAGGTCTTAAAGGTACAAATTACATAAGGAAATCTTTCTGAATTTATTCATACCACAATTCTTACCTTGTATGCAGTATGCACACAATCAATCAATGATTGCTAAAGGAATGAGTGACAATGATGGTCAGTCTAGCTGAGAGAATGAGCATATTAAAGAACTTCTGGGGGCTGGGGTTGTGGCTCAGTGGTAGAGCGCTTGCCTAGTATGTGTGAGGCATTGGGTTTGATTCTCAGCACCACATATAAACAAATATATAAATAAAGGTCCATCAATAACTGAAAGTTACAGTTACTATTTCTATGTATTACAAACACATTAAATTTTCTTCATAATATGTAACATATATTGAATACTGACTATGTGTCAGGCACCATTATAAGTGCTTTGGATAGATATTTAATCCTAGCAATTAACCTCTAAAGGAGGTCCATTATCCCTGTTTGACAGATGAGGAAACTGAGATATAGAGAGTTGAAGTAACCTGCCCAGGGTCATACACAGAACCAGGATTGAAACCCCAGTAGTCTGGTTCAAGAGCCTGTATTATTAACCACCACAATATACTCCTCATGTTGATTCTGAAAGGTACCTTCTCACATTGTAGTGAAATCCAGGTGCGTTTTTATGCTTGCTATATACATCTAATATGGTGATTCCTTTTCTCCTCAAGAAGCTGTTATTAAATCAATGGTTCATCGTACACTCAATTGTGCCTTAGAATCAAGGAAATATGGCACATGGGAATTGCAGACAGTCACTTGACTTCTTAGGGAATCAGTTTTCTCATCTATAAAATGAAATAGTTGAAACAGGTTACCTATAAGGTCCTTTCATATCTGTGGTTATTCTTTACCATAAATACAGGCTGAGTGATTTATGATACTACATTAAAATAACCAGATGACAATTGGGTTTATAATAAAACATACATCATACTCACTTTCTCCCAATATCAAGGCCTGTCTTCAGGATAACATCATACCGAAAAGACTGCACAACTTTCTCCAGGTCTTTGTAGTCTTTGATTACACTAGGGTCATCCTCCAGCTCTGCTTCCTGCTCACTCCTGTCCTCATGATCACCCTCCTCATCAGAGTCTTCTTCATCCTCTAATTTTTGCACAGTCTTTTTAGAGGATTTTTTAGACCTTATATTACTTTTGAGTCTTATGGAAAATGGAAAAATATATTCTGGAGATACCAAAAGCCCTGGGAGTCTCAAAGGGAAGATACTATGGAGAAGTATTTTATACTTTGATGTATTTAACTTGCTACTAGAAAAATACAAGTATCGATTCCAGGAAGCACAGAATTTATGTGAAGAAGGTGTCCCTTGAAGAACACTCCAGAATCCAATCCAGGCATCTGATCTTCTTAAAACACCAGTGAGAAATCTGACACTAGTCATAGCCATGGCACATGTAACCTGAAACAAATAATAATTTAGTTTTATTTCACAAGTGCAGCATCATAAATCACACCCACATGCTGTGAACACTTTATATCTAGTATTATATGTAGGCTTCCCTATACAAGGCCATATTAGTCTGTACCTGCCAAGAGCAGTACCATACCATGGTGCAATTAGTATGCTTAGCTCCTAGGGTTGTCACAATGGTTCAATAAGACACCAACATGTGTGAAAACACTGGTTCTACTCTTTTCCCTCCCTCCAATTAGCTCTGGGTACTGACTGCTACTGAAAAATATTAACAGTAATTCTCAATGACTTTTCTTTTGTTAAAAAAGAAAAATTTGGGGAAACTGTTTATTAATATACACTATATCCTTATAATATTCCTATGCCAAGGAAAGAGCAGATCATGACTTCATGAAACCCACAATGAACCTCTAAATGATTTCAACCTTCAACCCCGGTGAATCAGAGCTAGGAATAAACAAATAGGATAGACCTGATCCTGATTTTTACTTCCTTTTTTTTTTTTTTTTAAATGTTGGGTTGGGGAAGGACCACGGGACTCAGGGGCACTCAACCACTGAGCCACATCCCCAGCCCCTTTTTGTATTTTATTTAGAGACAAGGTCTTACTGAGCTGCTTATCGCCTCTCCATTGCTGAGGCTGGTTTCGAACACACAATCCTCCTGTCTCAACCTCCTGAGCCGCTGGGATTACAAGCCCTTATCTTCACCTCAAATGCAGCAGAAATCATACTATGATGGTGGCAGACCTCCTTAAGCACACCAAGATGGTTTTAGGGACCATGATTTGGTAATAAGAGAAGGGTTTCCACATGGTTGATATCCTCATACTGTGAGTCTGTAAAATGTCTTTGTGCCAAGATTATACTTAGGTAATAACTTCTTTGATAATGGTTCTCTTCAGGTTTCCTTCCATTTATTACATTTACTTCTATTTATTTCATTAATTCCATTTATTTCATTTATTACAAGGCTGACAACAATAATTATCTGTATGGCTCACTCAAAAATACAGAGCTAGCTGGGTGCAGTGGTACACACCTGTAATCCCAGCTGCTTGGGAGCCTAAGGCAGGAGGATCATGAGTTCAAAACCAGCCTCAGCAACTTAGCGAGGCCCTAAGCAACTTAGTGAAACCCTGCCTCAAAAAAATAAAAAAGACCGGGGATGTGACACAGGAGTTAAGCATCCCTGGGTTCAATCCCTGATTCTGTACCAAACCAAACCAAACCAAACAAATAAACAAACAAACAACAACAACAAAAAACAACCAGGGCTGGCTACTTTTAGTTTATAGTTAACATTTTGAGGCTTCATTTTCCTTGAATAATGAGTAGACAACATAAACTTGACTTTATTATTCTAAGCCTTAAATAGCTCAGTGGTAATGTGCTTGCCTTGCATTTCATGGTTTGAGCCCTGGCACCAGTGGGGAGAAAAGGTACATTTATACATATTCTAATTTAATAGAAACTGAACAATACTCATTTAAAGAAAGAAATTTACATTTTATAAAAGTAGAGATAAAGGAAGAAAATACCATATCCCAGGAGTTCTGAGACTCTGTGTTTCAAGGATCTTAAAGATTTTTTTTCTTCAACAAAAGCTACCTTCACCTACTATAATATCAGAGAAAATGAAGTTTTAGGAGCTGGGGACTGGGAAGGACAGTCACTTCAACTGAGGGGAAGGAAATGGCCATCACTAGGGTTAGGAAGTTGAGTCTCTATGTCAGTTCCTGGGTGTCACATTCCCTATTCTAACATCCTAGCTTTAGCTGAGTAATTCCAATGACTCAGAAGGCTGAGGCAGGAGGATCACAAAGTTCAAGGTCAGCCTGGGCAACTTAGGGAGACCCTGCTGGAAATATACAAATTTTAAAAAGGGCTCTGGATGCAGCCCAGTGATAGAGGACTTGCCTAGCATATGTGAGGCCCTGGGTTCAATTTTGTACTAGTTTCAATTCCCAGTACAAAAAAAAAAAAAAAATCCTAGCTTTATACTACACTGTTGTTTTCTTTGAAGAATGCCTGGATATGATGCCTTAGGCCCACATCAGATGGTCACATTTACCTACAAGATGCAACCTTTACTAGCAAAAAGTAACTATTTAAAATTATACTAACATGTAAATAAAACACATTTTTAAATGTCAAACTAAGTTTTACCTTTGTGTTCATTAGCTACTTACTCCCTCTGTGATCTGCTTCTCTTTCCAGCAGGCAAATACTGCCTACTGGATGTTTAGATAAAATATATGAAAAATATAAAACTGAAGAAACAAATTAATCTAGTTTTTGCTGGAAATGGTGACCATTTGAAGATGTTAGCCAGTGGACACTTGGGCCTCAAGGGAGGAGCCCAAGAACCCAGAACTGGTCAGAGGAGCCCTAAGGTGGAAGTAGGAGGTCAGAGAGAATCCAGGGTTCCTTATATTTCATTTGAAAATAATATTCCATTGCTGAAAAGATTTGTCCTTTTAGCATGGCCTCCATCTCTTCCAGATTCCACACAAGCCCCTCTCATCCTTTGCCAACCCCTGCACCAGACTCTAGTTGCACAAATACTACGTAATTTGCCATTTTCTAATTAGTTCACGTGGACTGTTTTATCTCCCATCTTCAAAGAGGAGGGAGGGCAGAAACTGTGTCATATTCCTCACTCTCCTTTTCTGCATAGCACTTTTTTTTTTAACTCAATAGTTGCAGATTCATTTTCTAGAAATGACTGAATATCCTACCCATTACCACATCTAACCTCCATTCACTCATTTGCCCATATATCCAAGGTCCTGACCAGACCTAGGTGTAAAACACCCAGTCCTTGCCCTGATGGTAGTGCCATTTAGTTACAATGTGGGCAAGTAATTTATTTATTGGCTGTCAGAGAACAGAAATGAACATAGGTCTGGAGGAGACTAGACCCTGTAACAAGTTGTGGCTCAAGAAAATGGATGTCTAAGGCACATTCTAATAGCAAAGGTGACCTGAAACAATTATTTTTTTTTTTTACTTTCTAGTGGACCATTCTATCAGCATGTTGCTATTTCTCTCATTAAAAAAAATCAAATAAACAAAAAAAGTAAACCTTTTAACTTTACTACTTCCCAGCTACTATCTTTTCTTGCTCTTCTTTACATAAAATTCCTCAAAAGATGGGTCCATAATCTTTCCAATTCCATTCCTGTCATTTTCTAAATTCAAAAGGTCATTGGTTAGTCTTCGTTTTACTTCACTTCTGATCACTCCCTCTTCTTTATTTGCTTCTAGGACACCTCACTCTTGGAATTACTCCTATTTCACCAAGAGCTACTTCTCAAAACTCCTTTGCTAATTCCTTTCATTTTCCCTGGCATCTTACTATTGGAGGGCCCAAAGGCTCAGTCTTAGTCCTCTTCTTTTCAGCTTTTAAGTATACTGTCAACTACTTTTTTTTTCTTTTTTCTTTTTTGGCATTGGGGATTAAACCCGGGGACATTTTACCATTGAGCTATACCACCAGTCCTTAAAAAAAAAAAAAAAAAGTCTTGGGTCTCACTAAGTTGCCCAGGCTAGACTCAAACTTGGGATCCTTTTCCCTCAACCTCCCAGGCTAGGACTACATGTATGTACCACTCTGCCCTGCTCAGCCAACCTGTTTTGACAAATGCATCAAAACACCAAGTATTTCCATGGCTTTAAGTACTACCCATATAACCAAGTACTTCGTAATCTATAACCCCATTCCAGAACTCTCCCCCTAATTCTAGACTTGTATATCTGCACAAAAAGAGTTAACATAACAAGCCTGAAATTACAATCCTTAGAAAGGCCTGCTTGCAAAGTTGTCTAAGAATTCGGACTTTAAGAAAGTTCCCACCATACCCCAAACTGATAGGAATGGTGCCGAAATTGTACCATTTGTTTTATGCTAAATACCTACTTTTTTTTCTGGGAGTCTGTTATAATGGTTGCTATAGGAATTAAGCATGTCCTGTGTCACTCTACTACAGAGGACTTTTTGAGAAAATGGTGCCTAGTTTCCTCCAGACTTTGTCCTATTTATCTTTTCTCTTTGGTTATTTTGCTTGGTATTCTTTAGCTGTAATAAATTATAGCTATGAGTATGATTATATGCTGAGTCTTGTGAGTCCATTTAGTGAACAGAACCCCCAATACAAAGTCCAAATGTTTATTTGACATCTCCACAAGAGTAATAGGCACCTCAAACTTAACTGGTCCAAAAACAAACTCCTCATATACCCCCAGCCCCACCTGCTCCCCTACAGCCCAGTTAATGGTAACTCCATTTTTCTAATTGCTAACAACAAAAGCATCTAGTCATTCTTGATGCTTCTCTTTCCATCATATCCATAATGTTGGAAATCATGTTGGCTGTTTTTTTTTTTTTTT